GTAATCGAAAATTTTCTCAAATTCGTTTTGGACACGTTACAAATCCACAAAGTGAGAAGAAAATTTTTCGTCTTTTTCAGCTCGTAGTTTTTGGTATGTAAAAATTATCAAACTCATATAAACTTAAAAAATGTGATAAGCTTTTAAAAGTAGAGATTTCAAGCTTTAAAACCTTTTTTTTTTTAATTTGAATTTCATTCATTATTGACGAAGATATTGTATATACAACTTTGAGCTAAAAAATACGCGATGACTTTTTACTCAACCTAATATATATACAATATATATTATATCTCATATTTTATTAACTACTTTCCCAAGAGTGAAGAAGATGATAATTGATTCATGTTTGCACTTAGGTATTGTCTTAGTCGTCTTTGGTATCCTGGTGCTCGTCCACGGTGCTTCTTTGGGCGGATCTGGTGCAGGACTCTGGGCAGGTGCAGCCGCTCTAGTTGCTGGTGCACTAGGAGTGGTTGCAACATTAGCGGCCTCGTCCACTAAAACAAATTCTGCCTTTTCCTCCGCTCATCTTGCGTCCAGTTTGATTGCACTTGCTCTCTCGAACATGGCCACTATAACAGCATTAACGGCGGTTGTCAGGGATTCACAGAGGGCACCGGACGTGTCATTTCTTAGCCTTTCGGTACATTTTTTGTAATGTTATTTCTCGATTAATTTTTATGTTTAAATATGACATTTTGAAAAAACATAACTTTAATTAATTTGTTATAATAAGTCAATTCTCATTATTTTGCATATTAAAGTAAAAGTATATTAATTAAAAGTATATTAAGATATAGTATTTAAAAAATAGATAGTTTAAAAGTTCGATGAATAATTTAAAATTTTGGTGTTTCTTTTTTAAACATATCTTTATATTTAATGATTATTATTAAATTAAACTGTGTATTATAGATAATCATAAATATTATTGTGAATTAAAAATGTATATTTCAGGGTGATGACAACAATGTGATGGAAGTAGATAACGGCTTGGCGGGTTTGTTAGCGAGCATTGGCCTATTGGTGGCTAGCGTGGCAGAGCTATTAGTATCCGGTTATAGTTGTCTGACCTTGACACCGAAGTTATGTGGCTGCCTGCGAGCGAATACTACCGATGAGATGGTGATCGACGGTCATCTGAAGACGAGCAATATGGTTCACCAGTGGGTTGTCACGCAAAATCATATGCCGGCTAAGAGTCAACAACCACCTGTCTACTTAGTGCACCCGATGCCAGTGCCAATACATCCAATGATTCAAGTAAGCGCTTTCGACCACTTTTCCCACGATTTCAATAGCTGTAATTATGTTTTGTTAAGGTGGGGCAACTCTATAAGAGCACGATTTCTGCTTGCGCTTACTTATCTGTTTCTTTCCTTCTTTCCCTATTTCTCCATTCTATTCTCTATCTCCTTCTCTTCTCTTTTCTTATCCTTATTGCTCTCCTTTAAATTTTTCTTTCTGTTGTTTCATAAGATATTCTTCTCTCGAGCACCTCTTCTCTTTTATTTTATACTTATTATATTTCAACACATTCCTGTGTCTCATATCTTTTGTCTTCTATTTTTTCTTCTTCATATTTCTTCTTTTCTTAATTTCACACACAGTTCTTCATCGCAGTTTAAAAAAAAATGTAGATAATTTTTAAAAGATATAAACATATATCTTTTTGCAAATCTCTCAAAAAATAGAAATGTAATATATTGCTTATAATTAGATATATTTAAATAGATTGATCAAAACAAGAGAGTCTGAGAAAAAATTGAGATTATATTTAAATATAAAAAATAGTTTGTGTTTATTGTAGCCACCATACGGTATGCCATCGACACCCGGAGGATTTGTATCTGCTAGATCTCTTCCACCGATGCCATATGGTGCTATGCCTATGCTATCCCATATACCTCCATACCCTGGACGGCCGCAATCTCAGATGGTGAGCTTTTGAATATGTATATATAAACTCATTGATCATAAATTAAGAATTAAAACTATACAGTTCAATAAAGAATATAAAAAATAATCTACAGCTAAATACGGTTTAGTACAAAAATAAAATTTGGTGGTTTTTAAATTATGTATATGTATATATTTTGTCTTATATTTTTATAAATAACAAAACATTTAAATAAAAAGATAACTTAAAGTAATGCAGTTTAATAAAAAACATTATAAACTTTTAGATTTGTATTTTACTTTACTTGCAAATTAGATTAGAATCATTTATTAATTTACTTAAGGTTTGTTTTCACATTCACATCTGTAAACATCAGTTCATTCTTATCGTCTAATATTATATGAACGAGTAATGCTTATAAGCGTTGTAAGCGGAAAACGAACCGCATCTTTAATTATCTCTTAAATAATTATTTATTTATAATTGACATGTGTTTGTTTTTAGTTCCGATCAAAACACAAACGTCAGCCGTTTGCAGATCAGGAAGAAACAAAAAGGCATACTGAAGTTAAAAATGAATCTCCAAAGATGACCAGCGAAGATCAAGTCGATCTGGCTCAGACTTACACGGGATTAGACAAGAGAATTTCCGAGGAATTTATTTCGATCGCGATGGATCCAGATAGAAAATCAAAAGTTTCTAGCTGTCATGGCAGTGAAATTGGAACTGCAAAAACTTTTTGATCGCTCTCAGTTACAATAATTGAAGAATTTAATAAAAAATGAAATTTGCTCATGATTTATACCTATTTTACAGATACATTTCGTATCTAAGATTATAGATATAAATCAGTCTCATGTACTTTTCATTTAGTACTTTAAAATCTCGAATATTATATTAAATTTTTCTATTGAATGTAAAATTATTCAAATTATTGGATTTGTTTCCAATTATAAAACAGAATATAATTGTAAAAAGCGGAGAGATATCAAACACCACACACATTATTAACAAATAAAATTAACGTTGATTTCTTATTGCAAATCTCTTTACGCGATTGCTAAAATTCTATTATATAAAATTATAAATCTTTATACTTGTCATTTTCTACTGTTTATACACATAATTTATTTATTCTTATTGATTTCAACTTGAATAATAAGAAGGATAAATAACTTATGCAATATAAACAATATAAATAAGTAACAAATGTAAAGATATATAATAATATATAATTATATAAATAGAATTATATACTTGGGAATACTTTTGTCTTTTTCAGAAAAAATAAGCCCTAAATTTATATAATTTTATCTAATGTACGTCGACTCAATCTTCTTATTCTATCATAGCTTTTATATCTATATTCGTACTATAAAATAATACGAACATAGATAGATGAAGAAACTATTATATTTATTTTTTATTAGCAAAGTTAATACTAAATTAAATTAATAACTAAATAATTTTTATTACTGAAAACATTTATTTCTGAGCTATAAATCTTTGTTTCCTTTAAATGGTAAAAAATGAAACTTGAATAATACTACATTATTTAATTATTAAGCATAGAACAGAGATAATATATAATATATAGTTACAAAACATAATACTCTTTAAGTGTTTATTTATGTATTTCAGTTTTATTGAGATATTCAATGTGTTATTGATTTAAACAATTATATAGGAACACAAAAAAAATACCCTGTGTTGAGATAGAGATCCAGCTGTTCATATGTTTTACATTATTTTGAATCGCTGAATATGACATCTGACATCAAAATAGGATCACTCAGGGCAAATTTTTAATTTATAGAGTGAAAAAATGGGTTAAAATGGGAAAAAATAAGTCATTTTTCATTCTAAATTGAAAATTCGCCCTGAATGGTCCTATTTTGATATTCGTATTCAGCGATGCAAAATACATAAAAATAGCTGGGTCTCCATCCCAGCATAGGGTATTTTTTTTATGTGGACCTGTGTTATTGTACTGTACAGTCATGATTTCTTTATTATTAATAATTTTATATGTTAAATTAATCATAGCTTTTGTATATGCATATGTAATATATTTTGTTATGTAATATAACGTTATAAAATATAATACATAATAAATT